TTATTATGCCTGAATTATATTTTGTTAATCCGATTGAATTAAACGAATTTACCAAAGTTTATTATAAGAATTTTAATTGATACATGTGTTTACTGATTCATGGATGATCCGACAAAGAGATGGACTTTTAAAGATTCCGTGGACACATGTTAGACTGTGATACATTCCACACACCCCTTGGATCCACATACGAGCGGTTTAGTCACGTGAAGGTGAATTAGAGATGGAAATCCGTCAACAAATTCTATAGACTACGCATATCTCAAATAAAGAACAAACTTTTAACCAATTTAACTAATTTCATTCATAATCTACCGTAACTACAATTCATTCAATGATACAGCTTTGTATATTTTAAGTCATGTTTACAAATTGTATTCATTTTTTTACTCTTCACTCCATTCCCCAATTTTTTTTTTACATAGTCACTGATTTTTATTTTAAATTTTTACTTGCTTCTTTCATTTTTTTAACGGATTCGGAGAATCCTTTGGGGAGCAAGAGGGTATTATGACCGTGCAAAATGTATATTTTGCACATTCCTATATATTTTCCATTTTCGGCTTGTTTATTGATTAATGTATTTAACATACGCAATCTTGTGAAATTCTTCTTGATACGGAAGTGATAAAATGTAACTCAATGTTTATAAAAAGTATTAATTGTAACAATGAAATAATAAATCAAAGCCATTAAATATTGCTTAAGGACAAATACTTATCAGATAGTGTGGACAGATGGACAATATATTTCAAGATCAAAAGAGTGTTTGACACTAACTGAGTTAAAACGTTCAGGTAGCAATTAGAGGATTAACGCAGGTCAAGTAATGGACGTTAACCTTTAGCGATGGTCAGTCTTGAGTAATAAAGATTGACAGTGATTGGATAGAACATATTGATTAATTTATAATTGGACATGTCAATCAAAGTAAAGTAGATGTTTTATAAAATGTTACTTAATAAAATATAGTAAGTTAGTTAGAATCAGAGCAGGAGAAAAGATACATGTAGATTAAGAAGTGTCCGTATAAGCCGTAACGTTTACCTCATTGTCATAAGGTCCGCCTGTCTGTCTGTTTAGTAAATTACCTAGCGAGTTTCCCCATATACATATTGTACGGAGTGAAGAGTAGCCTATTCCCCAGATTGTTGTTATTTGTTTTATGAACTTTAATAAATGTGGAAAATATTACGAGTGTTGAGCTAATTCCCTAGTAATCGCCAAGGTGGAGTAATAGACGCTAAAAACGGGCGGTTATAATTTCCCCAAAACAACTTGTACAGTACAATGTATAATTAATGTAAATTTATATGGTATAAAATTGAAGAGTTTCGCTTTTGTAGTTTTACAAAATAAAACCCCAGTCCCCCTTAGATTATTAATCATTCTTTAAATATTTATGTCACCAATACTCATTCAAGAGAGAGCTGCCATACGAGGAAAAAGTCCATGAACTATTGATTCAATAAACGTGCATGTGAAAGAAGATCAGTAAATAATGATGCCAATTGGAAAACACACAAATAATGGACTTTTACAGGAAGCGCTGACTTTTACAATCGACGCTTACATTTACATTTAAACCTGCCTTATGTAAGGAGGCACAGAATTGATAATATTCATTTATTCTGTGGATATAATTAAATCCAAAATAAAAGTACGATCGAAGATGAATTTTAAAGTTGACGATCACACGATGAAAATTATTGTCTGCTTGATTGATTGCATGTTCTTTACGTCCAGTATAAGAATTTGTTCCCTCAAATAGAGACGTTAACATTTATATTGATTGGGATTTCTTTAAGAAAAGAAGTGATTTTACCTTTTCAGTTAACAAAAGACATATTACCAAAAAGTGATCGAAAATTCTAAAAGTACAGTAACTAGTGTTTCAAATAAATGAAGCTATATATCATACCAATCTAAGCATCAACTTTTCAATTAAAAATAACTTTAAAATTTCAAACTTATACTCATTATATTGATTGAAGAAAAAAAAATTGTAATAAAATGTTTCATTTTCAATGTCTTCTATAAATGAGGCCATATACAATATAAAAAAAAACTCGTCGTAATTTATATCTACGTTTTCTCCACACACTACTCAAATATTTACGTTTTGATTTTACATATTGTGCGCTCTACCGTACACGTCTTCTTAAATCAGGCTATTCATGCAATTTCTGACAATTTCCTTATATCTATAACACCCCTACCATGTATAGTGAAAGGGGTTGTGATTGCAGGCACGTAGCAAGGGGGGGGGCACTTTTTTCCCCAACATTACTTTAACTATTGGAAATGTACATTAAAAGGATGGTTGCCCCTCACCCCCCCCCCTCTCCCCCAAACTTGATACTACAGGAAGTCGACATTAGGGAAATGTAGTATTGAATGTAAAGAAAAATTGTTACTGAAAGAAGTTGGCATTGAAAAAAGTTTGCCTCTCCTACTTTCGAGTTTGGGCAATTTTTTATTAATTTATTTATTTTTTGCTTTTCAACTTTAACAGGTAAGTCAAATAAATTATCTCAGATCTCAGGCTGCCCCCTCCCCTTAATTTCAAAAACGATGCTACGTGCCTGGATTGGATGTCAGTTTGGATAAATTTTGTCACCTAGCAAAAGGCATTCATCATCATTCATCATCATATTTCCGGATGATGCCCCCAGCCTCCGGTTCTGAGGCCTACACAAAGTCAAATTATCAAAATGAAAAATTACGAGAAAATAGGGGGAAATACTATTGTAACTGTATTCACAGTATTGATAAAGTATTGTTTAATCCGGAAAGTCATGAAACAATGAATATTAAGTTTTCAATTTTTAAGAGATTGAAATTATAGTATAGGCTACTGCTTGTGTGATCATTCAAAACACAAGGGTCGTACATGCGTAATTAACAATACCATGTGTTCCTGATCATACTGTAACGGTTTCTTAGTTATAATAGAAGTATAAGTAAGTCCGTTTCAGGGTTCATAACATCTCCATTTATTCACATACAGATGAACACAGAAATGGAAAATAGGAAACAGGATAAAGGAAAATGCCCTGAAATTTATAATAACAAATAATAAACACATAGCATAAAATATTCTAACATATCCGTATCAATATAGTTACTACAATTTGCGGTTAACAGATACGCTGCATAAAGGGAGGTAACTCTTCACATTACACATTATAAAATAGAATAATGCTCCCTTTCAATATTATACTCTTTGAAAAATCATAAAACCTTTATACAACAATATTGATCTACATGTTACAATAACGTCTACACAGACTTTACTCTTTTAGGATATCATAAAATATATAAAACAATAATAGCATACCAATCTATGGGATTGAGCCTCTCCCAATCAATAGAGTGTCTGACTCAGTATGGCTCACAAGGTCCAGATCATATCATATAACTACAAATTACCATAGTTTACATAAGTAAACCTATCATAAAAATATCTACATATCTATTTAAATAAAAACTACTATCTGCATCAATAAAACAGTTACTCAGAAATTCTATCTCTCAATCAGATTCTAACCGTGAAAGTGCTATGGAATTAACTTTGGCAAAATTACAGACTTTACAGTTAAATCAAATATTAGAAATCATATTAGAATTAGTATATAAATATTAGCTTACCTTAATAGAGAGAAATATCGTCTAAGTCAAATGTCAAAAAGTCTGAATTATCAAATCTATGAATATGGCCCTCTCTACTGAAAGACTGGACAAAGAATGACCATAAAAACAACAACTTTTGGAGGGAAAAAATAAGTAAACCAATAAAACACAACCTTACAATGTCCAAACCAATGAAAATGATGGATACTACAAACCAAAGACCAAAGACCAGAACCTTCATACCCCAAGGCTATAATAATTAAGTACAGGTACTACCTGTTCTACCTTTGGTGACCTTTATATATTCTTTATCAATACATTTATTTACAAATTAAAAGCATGAAATATATCATAGATTTATTAAATAAATTAATAAATCTAACACTAAAACAATACGTCATTGTATTCACTTTTGGGTTAAAATTATAATCATTCATATATGAACTCGCACGGATCCTGAATTTTTTTTTCTAGGGGGGGGGGGGGGGGGGGGGGGGGGGGGGGGGGGGGGGGTCAAGTCAAAAAATACACAACCCAAAATTCTCTTGTCATTAAATTTAATGCAGTGAATAATTTGCAGTTTTTTCCCGAACAAAACATCAGAAAAGGAAAATTAATACCGGTATGACTACAAACAAGACTATATCAAATGTGTTTAAAATAATCAACAGATAGAGTGAATTCATGGATTATTTAGTCAATTGCATTTTCCTCCTACGTATAATCTAGCCAAAGAAAAATTTAAAAGTAAAAATTGTATTTAGAGCGCTTACATGGTATACAATATGAACATGTGTTATAGAGAGCTAAAACAACAATTTGTGGATTGTGTAGGGGTTTTAAAAAGGGCGGTTGCAACTATAACAAAAATTGTCTATATTATAGTTAACTATAATTTACTAAAGACGTCAGAAAAATGGTTGTAGGATATTAAGATAATAAAACATATCTATTTGAAATTTATAGTAAAAATGTTTTTATTTACTTAAGTCAAAACTTAAAAAAAATACAATATACAGTAACTATACTTAACTAAGAGTAAACTAATGTTAAATGACCAAATTAATCGTATCTAATTACCAACTGTTTATTTCAATATTTATATTAAAAACGAGCTCCCGTACATTTAATCTGTGTAAAAGTAAGCGTCGATTGTGAAAGTCAGCGCTTCTCGTAAAAGTCCAGTACTCACAGATTTGATGTTTTTCAACACTTATATCAAGCCATATACATCAGTATCTCCACCCCCATTACATGCACCTCTCACCCCCGAGTTTTTGTATGTGAAAAAATATTTATAACTCGTTTTGAAATGTTAAAATGTTAATAATCTCTTCCAGCAGGTCATTTTTGTGATTGTATTTCAGATCAAATTTCCTATCATACCTATTTCCAAGGATCTGGTGTTTTAAAAAACGGAAAATGGATATTATTCATACTTTTCTTTTGCTTGTTGGTAAGTACTAAAGAAATACAATTGAAGAAAAGCCACGAAATAATTTCCAGTTAATTACACAATTTATGTTGGGATAAAATATTCTTCACATTATATACCAAGAATAAGTAACTGAATTTATTATTTCAATCAATTTACTCAATGTTACAAAGTTTACAACAATGGTCTTTGTTCACAAATAGTCCATCCTCTAATAACATTTTCACTGCTGAAATAAGACAGGTCCCTTCTTGTTTAAAATAAACGAAATAGTCTCAATATACAAATCTTGATATATGTTCTCCTATTCCAAAAACACACTTTTGGTTAGTGTTAAGATCTTTCTTGATTTGACTTTGTAGCCTAAGTACTCCTCGTTTATTGCGCATTTCATGTAGAAAGATACCCTACAAACATGTAGTAGATGTTTTCTCCAAAAAATATACATTTGTATTTTAGACTCAATATACAACGGCCATGTATTGTCCAGAAAGTAGAGAAACAGTCACAATTGTTTCATCCTGTCCTCTAAATGAAAATGATTGGAATATGAAAGCAAAAGAAATGTCTTGTGAAGGCAAAGAACAGTCATGCTGCCCTAAAGAAAAATATACCTACCACTGTCTAGTGAATGATTTTCTTAACAACACAGTAGAATTTTGTGCACCAAAAATGAGACTAAGTAAGTAATTTACATTTACACACACCAATTGAATACAAATTTAGGATACGTTTAATTTATCTTTTTAAGAAAGAAGCGAACAACTTTTGATTGCAAACTGTGCTTCTCACAAAATCTTGCGATAACAAATTCTTGGATATATATGCAGGGTTTGCATATCGAGTTTTTTATTATAGCACACAAAATCAATTAAGATGAGCATGAAAGTAGCATTTGTTTCTCTTTTTTGTTTCCATACGAAATGTAGGCTCTATGTCACAAAACTGCTATAATTAACACATCTTATATACAGCATAACATATTGAAATCTCAATAGAAATTCAATAAAAAACATGAATAATTAACTAAAGGCATTGGCTTTAAGAATCTTCTGACGTCTCTCGAAGTTAAGCGCTGCAAGTTCCGCCTTCCATATAACATTTTGTTTAAGCTACATGGAACATGACAAAATCATTTTCTTCTTATTTGTAGATTATTGTGCCCAATACACTTTTTATGGAGCAAGGATTCAAAAGAATCTATATACAAATTGCACAAATAATTCAATTGATTGCAAAGGATTTTACGAATCAAATACAGCTTATAAAAGTAAGTACAGCAGAGTCCTGTAAAAGTATGTTAGATGTTGTATGTTTCTTAAGTGGTAAACCCACCTGTCTTTCGGCAGCAGGTCCAAAGTCCTGGTAAAGGGTGATGGCTACTTAAAAATTCTGTGGACATAAAATTGCTACATCGGAAAGTGGAATTCATAAAGTGCTGTGCTAAAGCAAAGCTGCTTCAAATGGAGATTAAATGTTTACCCGGATATATTAAATTAAGGAGGTTCGATCCTGAGCGTTTGAGCATATTTTGGTGTGGACCTTTATTTCTAAGTATCTGCATCATATTAAATGAACTGTTGTGCCAAAAGAGACATAATGACAAGTTTTTTTGGTTTGATTTTTAATGAAGCTATATGTGTAAAAACTAAACACTTTAAAATATATACGAGGGTTGATCCAAAAGTAATGTCACTGTGTCCATATCTTTTATATTTGGCGTCATATTATATAATATACCAAAATATGCATTTGTTAATGTTTAACAGAATTTATTTTATGGATGTTTAAAACATAGAACATAAGCTATTTTTTAATAAAGAAAATATCGCTGTTTTACTCCGTTACATTGAAAAAAGGAAATGTCGAAATGAAAAAAAAAACAAAAAAACGCCAAATCAAACTGTAATCCATTTTCGCTCACCTTAGCCGAAGCGAGCTTTTCTGATTAAAATTTGTCCGTTGTCTGTCGTCGTCGTCGTCATTGTTGTCGTTAACTTTTACATTTTCGACTTCATCTCAAGAACAACTGGGCCAATTTCAACCAAACTTTGCACAATGTTTCCTGAGGTGAAGGAGATTCGAGTTCTGTCAAATGAAGGGCCACGCTCCTATTCAAGTTGAGATAATTCAGAAATAATGAAAATTGTTTTAAAATCTTCTTCTCAAGAACCACTGTGCCAGGAATAATGAAACATGAAGCATCCCCAGGTAGTGTAGATTCAAATTTATTCTTATCATGACCCCTGGGGGGTAGGAAGGGGCCAAAATGGCCAATCAAATTTTTACATCGAAATATATAGGAAAAATCTTTTAAAATCTTCTTCTCAAGAACCACTGTGCCAGGAAAGATGAAACTTATATTGAAGCATCCTCAGGTAGTGTAGATTAAGATATATTCAAATCATGACCCACGGGGTCTAGCAATACATATTTTTTCGGAGAGCTACAGATCTGCAGCTAGGCGGGGCCACAATAGCCGATCAAAGTTTTACATAGACATATAAAGGAAAATTCTTTGAAAGTCTTCTCAAGAATCACTGTGCCTGGAAAGTTGAAACTTATAGGGAAGCATCCTCAGGTAGTGTAGATTCAGATTTCTACAAATCATGACCCCGGGGTAGAGCGGGCCAACAATGGCCGATCAAAGTTTAACAGAAAAATATTTATGAAAATTCTTTTGAAAAATTTAAACATTTCAATAATAATCTGATTTCTGCTTTTTTTCATAGCCACATTGCTCAGGTGAGCGATGTGGCCCATTGGCCTCTTCTTACTTCAAAATTGAGATATCGCCATTAGAGAAAGTAACGATGATTTATCAGACTCACAGAGGAAAGAATGTAAATAATATTTGTTAAGATGGTTTCAGCGATTTTGGGTTTGTGATGGGTCATAGTATGCTCAGTAGATGACATGAAGACCGAAAGATAAGGGGTGGATGGAAACGTTCAACGGTGTGTGACGTTGTCAAAAAAGACAGACGGTTAGGAAGATAAGTTATACAACTGTTAAAATATTCTTGACAGTGGAATTAATCATGAAAAGAGTGAGTGTATGATGGGTACCATGTTTTCATTAGAAAAGTGAAATTTGAGAACGCGTTTATGAATCTCAAATATTTTAATGAAACAAATGGAAGCGTTTGAATGTATGACGGCGCGTATCCGCCCGATGACGTTATTAAGTTGCGGCGACTACCATTATCTCATGTTTTATATAATCTGATATTTTGATAAGTATAAATCATGTTAAATTGAAGTTTTCAGATTTGATTTGAAAGAAATGAAGCTTTCATCCTTAATAATCTTGTTTTACATTGACTGGTAGCGGTTTTATTTGAGTTGTGGCATTACTTTTGGATCAACCTTTGTACTTTAAAATGCGTGAAAAAAAATTATATCAGGATCCCACCTCTTTAATTTATCCCCCCCTCCCCAAAATATATTTTAAACATTTTTGTTTTATTTTAGTTGTACAGAAAAGAAACATATTTTTTAAAAGAAATCACTATGTGATTCTAGTTTCATAGATTTGATCAATATAATTAAGTATAATGGGGAAAAAGAAAGGAATCTTACCTAAAACATATATCACAATTATTTATAGGTATTTTACACAAGATTACACAAGACCGGATAATTTCAGAGGTAAATTATATGATACTGAATGAGTTACGTGTGTGTTCTTGTAGGTTTTAAAAGGAGAATGTCTGAAATCAATACGAATTTGTCAAACATTTCTTTGAAATTTCTTTGGAAATTTTAAAACTTGCAAATTAAACCATGCCGGCTCCCTTGAAAATAAAGATAAAAATGCCCAATTATTATATATTTTTTCCATGATTTAAGAATACAATATATAAGAATTTGTAAACAGACGGTACATTCAAAGAGATTCAATCACTAAAGTCAACAAAAGGCATGCAATGCCAACTTTTAGGATAGATGAGAGATAGTTTTGAAACAAGAACCACACTGATATCTTGGTCTGAACATGTTTATTAAAATTCTGTCAGAATCCGGTTGTATCAACATTTAATGAATGATTAAAGCTTCATTAAACTGATTATTTTTAATGTGTCATTAAATTCCGTTGTATCAATTTTTTAATGAACGAATCGGTACATTAAACCTTCATTAAATTCCTCAATTTTAATGAAGGTAAGGGGGCTTCATTAAGTGATCATTAAGTATGGCGGCCTACTTGATGTTTTCCCCGCTTGGCAGAAGCAGAAGAACCACTGCCTTTTGTGAGCCTTTTTCACTGCACATTATGGACGAGGAAATTCGGAAATGATACCGTTTTAAAAAGTAAAGAAAAAAGGACTAATGGACGGTCTGGCGAACATTCAATACAGACAATAAAGAAATTCAGAATCACAAATACATCATCTACCTTGTGAAAAGAATTATAGGTATAAAGATGCTTCTTTCAATCAAATCAAAATAAAAATTCCCAACTGTAATCCCAGTGAATCCAAAATACCTTCGTGTATATTGTAAAATAAGTGACGTCATTCCTTTCGTCATCATCTAAGAGGTGGTTAGGTCTTTGTAACAAAGGTAAACAGTAAAAGAATAAATTATACAGCTCCTATTTTATGGTCTACGGGTATCAATAAAATCATGCATATGAATGATATATCAGAGATTTTATATATTGTAATAGCAACCCCCCCTCCCACACACACACACACACACTCACTTACCACACACACTCCTTTCAGCCTACCATCACGAAATATTTGCACATATTATCATTTTCTGTGTGTTTACATTTTCTTACATGTAAATTAATTTAAAAAAATTAACTTTTTCTCATTTTTGAAAAATATTGCCACAAGCCCGATACTTACATCACAAGAACATATAAAAATCGCTTCAGAGATCTATATTTTAACGGTTTATTTTTTTTTATTTATTGCTAAAGTCAAGATGTTATAAATTTTTCATTGCATTGAGAAAGATATATTTTGAGTAGAATTAAAGAGCTTGTAACCTTCTTTACATATAATATCTTTAAAATACGAGTATTTGCCTTTATGTATTTTTTTTAAATCATGCCTACCAACCCAACATTTTATAAACATGTAATAGTTTTTTTTTTCTTAGAAATCATAATTGAAAGATCCAGTTACATTGTAGTAAATGATGTCTCATCATACCATATTTCAGTTATGAATAAACGTATTTTAAGTTCTTATGTCTGTATCTAGAAAATTGTCGGAAAGACACTAATAAATTATTACAAAAAAAATTCAGAACAAAATTACATATACAATACATATATGAAATCTTTTTCGCAAAAAGGTAAACGTGATTCCATTTTGCGCCATGATACTCTCCCGTATTTTATCCTTTTCTTAATTGTTTGTATTGAACATTCTTCATGACTTTGCTTTTAACGATATTGATACTTTCTTCTATTAGTATGGTTAGAAATAAGTTGAATTTTGCTGGAATCCCCTCCCATTATAATAATTATATCTACATGTACATTCGTTGAACGAGTTTCGTTGTTTGTGTGACTGAATTTAAGAATGAATTTATAAGAAAAGAACAACATATGAGTAAATGAAGAGAAAAATCAAAGCGAAATATAATAAGCACGAATATGAACAGCTTATTGAGACAAAAGAGTTACATTATAAGCTTAAATCAGGTATAGTGCATATAAGAATACATAAATACTATGGAAAAAAGAAAAAAAAATGAGTCGACCCCAGATTTAAAAGCTGAAAAAAAAAATGGACGGAGCACCTTCCCCCCATCTGCCAGTAATACAAGTAGACAGAATGAAAATGAAACCGAAATACACAGACTTTTGGTTGTATTTCCCTTCCATACCCCCCCCCCCCCCCCACCCGCTACATGTATTTATGATCTCGATATTTCTCTCCATAACAGTTGAAAGATGAATTAAGCAAGATTTAATTTTCTCTCCCTGATTTTTATTACATTTAATTTGAATTCCGTCTGTAATTCTAGTGCAGTTTTTTTTTTATGAGATGACGTTTTTTTTATGTTAGGCCTATATCCTTCAAGTCACTCACAGACTTCGTTAAATGACGTACGTATTCACAATTTTTTTTTAAATCTTAACGTCATAATTAAAACGATTTCTATTCAGTTGATTTTTTAAAAAACTATTTTATTGATAGCTTATTTATCATAGGTATTTTGTAAACAAAGGAAACGCCCATGGATACGCCCCGGGAAGTATCAATGCATTGCATTGTGGGATATTCCTCTACTGTTAATACATCTTTAATGAATTCTTAAATATTTAATGATTCATTAAGTAATAAGACTCTAACAAATGTTTTGTACAACACACTTTGCCATCATTAACTAATGTATCATTAAGAATTTAACTATTCATTAGGCTTAATGATTCATTAAATTTAATGAATCGTTGATACAACCGGGTCCTGATGGTTATGTCTTATGGAGAAAGTTACACTCTTGAGGACATAATCATTGAAAGAAAATTGTTTGAAGTAATAAAACTCGGGCAAACGAAATATGCCCCATAGAGTTTGATAGTGTCAACGTCGACAGAAAGTGCTTGGGAATTTTTTGAATATGTCATTTATGAACAATCGAAGAATCACAGCGAACGGTGAAAAATGCGTATTCCCAATTTGATATAAACGTTATACAAATGTGTTTATTTCTTTATATAGATCATTAATTCCAGGACGAGCAAAACCTCCAATAAATCCATCAAATAGAAGCTTTGAATGCTTGATATCGAAGAGTTCTAATCTTTTGATTTGTTGTTTTTGTTTGTAGTTAGAAAAGCCTGTCCTTTGATGTAAGATTTGGGGGTGTGTGTGTGCACATTTATTCAAAATTAAATATTTAAAGTAGATTGAAATACCATCTCTAAATACTTTAGCTTAGATCGAATTAAAAAAATTGAAGAGAATTTCAGTGTTGTTTTTTTTTTTCAAAAATGGACTTTTTATGACTATGGAGAATTTGGCATTCAAAAGGGCACAGAACTATATGAAAAAGAGAAGGTGTTATATCTAGTTAGTGAGATCAAAAGAAATATATGGTCTAAATGTTATTATATCTGGAAAAAAAAAACCTCACACAGGAACTTATGAACATGGCGATTAAAGAGAAACAGAGAAGATATTATTATCGAAAAGCTTTCGGTATCTTATGAACATCTGCTTAATAAATTGCTGCTATAAATTCATAAAAAAGGCAAACCAAGAAGAAATGTTATCTGACATGAAACATTCTAAAGATGATACAGTTTTATCCTCAAAAGAATTAAACTCATTAACAGGCTAAATGAAAAAAAAAAAGATGTACCAATTTGCATTTTGAATTTTGAAATTTTGGAATTTTGTTTTTAAGGAAGGTCCATACTTTTACAAATCCGGTTTTAATTTCACACACCAATATAAAATTCGGATTATCACTTGTCTATTGAAATAAAAATCTTTTTGGATGATGGAGAATAATATAGCAAATATTTATTTATTTGTTTTAGTTTCGTTGTGCATACAAAGCTGTTTTTATACATTATTATATGGAAATAAACACTTTGCACTATATCCAAAGGATCTCTTTGTAGTTAAGTACATACAGAGACATAAAATTCTTAATTGCCTTTATGAACCTAAAGCTGTTTAATTTTTTTTATACAAACTAAATTTTGATTGGTTTTAAGCCTATATCATTTTTTCAAAGTTTACTTTTTTAATTTTGCAAAGTATGATTGAAACAAAATTGATATTCCAAAAATGGGGGTATACGTGTTGAAAAGGCTGTTTCGTTCAATTTCTCTGGTCAACTTTAATAAAGTATGTGTTTTTGTTAACCTTACATATAATTCTTAATAGTTTTTAAGAAAAAATGGCATATAAACACTTTAGATTTTGAGAATTACCAAAAATAAGATATATAGAGATTTTAAGCTCACCTGAGCCGAAGGCTCAAGTGAGCTTTTCTGATCACATTTTGTCCGTCGTCCGTCCGTCTGTCTAGCCGTCCGTCCGTCCGTCTGTCTGTCCGTCTGTCCGTCTGTAAACTTTTCACATTTTCGACTTCTTCTCAAGAACCACTGGGCCAATTTTGACCAAACTTGGTACAAAGCATCTTTGGGTAAAGGGGAATTTAAATTGTTAAAATGAAGGGACATATCCCCTCGCAAGGGGAGATAATCAAGAAAAGACAAAAATAGGGTGGGGTCATTAAAAAATCTTCTTCTCAAGAACCACTGGGTTAGTAAAGTTGAAACTTATGTGGTAGCATTCTGGTATAATGTAGATTCTAAATTGTTCAAATCATGACCCCGGGGGGAAGGGCGGGGCCACAATGGGGAATCAATTTTTATATAGAAATATATAGGAAAAATCTTAGAAAATCTTCTTCTCAAGAACCACTGGGCCAGAAAAGCTGAAACTTTTGTGGAAGCATCCTGGTATAATGTAGATTCTAAATTGTTCAAATCATGACCCCCGGGGGAAGGGCGGGGCCATTATAGGGAATCAAAGTTTTATATAGAAATATATAGGAAAAATCTTTGAAAATCTTCTTCTCAAGAACCACTGGGCCAGAAAAGCTGAAACTTATGTGGAAGCATCCTGGTATAGTGTAGATTCTAAATTGTTCAATCATGACCCCCGGGGGAAGGGCGGGGCCACAATGGGGAATCAAAGTTTTATATAGAAATATATAGGAAAAATCTTTGAAAATCTTCTTCTCAAGAACCACAGGGCCAGAAAAGCTGAAACTTATGTGGAAGCATCCTGGTATAGTGAAGATTCTAAATTGTTCAAATCATGACCCCCGGGGGAAGGGTGGGGCCACCATGGGGAATCAAAGTTTTACATAGAAATATATAGGAAAAATCTTTGAAAAATCTTCTTCTCAAGAACCACTGGGCCAGAAAAGCTGAAACTTATGTGGAAGCATCCTGGTATATTGTAGATTCTAAATTGTTCAAATAATGACCCCCGGGGGATGGATGGAGCCACAATGGGGAATCAAAGTTTTATATAGAAATATATAGGAAAAATCTTAGAAAATCTTCTCAAGAACCACTGGGCCAGAAAAGCTGAAACTTATGTGGAAGCATCCTGGTATAGTGTAGATTCTAAATTGTTCAATCATGACCCCCAGGGGAAGGGGGGGGGGCACAATGGGGTATCAAAGTTTTATATAGAAATATATAGGAAAAATCTTTGAAAATCTTCTTCTCAGGAACCACAGGGCCAGAAAAACTGAAACTTATGTGGAAGCATCCTGGTATAATGTAGATTCTAAATTGTTCAAATAATGACACCCGGGGGAAGGGCAGGGCCACAATGGGGAATCAAAGTTTTATATAGAAATATAAAGTAAAAATCTTTGAAAATCTTCTTTTCAAGAACCACTGGGCCAGAAAAAGTGAAGCTTATGTGGAAGCATTCTGGGGTAGTGTAAATTCTAATTTGTAGGAATCATGACCCCCGGGGGAAGGGCAGGGCCATTAAAGGGAATCAAAGTTTTAAATAGAAATATATAGGAAAAATCTTTGAAAATCTTCTTCTCAGGAACCACTGGGCCAAAAAAGCTGAAACATATGTGCCCATGGAAGGATCATGGGGTAGTGTAGATTTCAAAATGTCTAAATTATGGTCAGTGGGGTAAGGTGGGGATGCATTATGTATAACAAGGGTGAAATCTAGTAAAGAACAGAATGGTCAAAGCTTCTCAGGTGAGCGATGTGGCCCATGGGCCTCTTGTTTTTCTGAAGGACATGGACAGATTCACCATTAATTTGTTTAAATAAAGAAAAAAGATTTCAAATTTTCTCTTGGTAAAATGAATATTTTTGAATTTCATAAGTTTTAATATAGATTTGAAGTGATTTGGTTCATAGTTGAATTAAAATGATATCTTACTTCTTTATGTTCAATTCTGCTACTTAATTTTAGAGGTACCTACTCTGAGATATGATGTATGAAAATAAACCTGAAAAGTTATGTCTTTTATGGATGTTTTACTTAGTTTATGACTTATTCAAGGTATTCAAATCAAAAAAAAATTATCAGATTGACAGAAATATTTGAAAGTATGACCCTAGCTTAAATGAAAGCATGGATAGTAAATATTGTGCAAGAATTATTTCAATGGTAAATTAACACAAATAACAATATCATGGACGAAGCAGCATTGCTTTGTTAAATGTCTTATACCTTACATATGCATGTGCATGCAAGTGTTCAATCCTTTAAGGTCACAAACAAAAAAGACCTTATGTTTTCCCTGATGCTTATTATTACTTGTGCAAAATACTTGAATTGTTTTGATCTGAGAGATTGAGAGAAAGAGAGGAAAGTGGATTTATAACTTATTCATCAACTTTTATTGCCTTTACATTTAGAGTCAAAATGTTTTAAGCTGCGATCATCGCAAGAAGATGAAGAAAGCGAATCAACAACACAAACAGAAGAAAAGAAACCAGAAACAAACCATTTTTTGTAAGTATGTAAAAAGGTGATTTGTTTTTGAGTTTTTGAGAGGTGTTTTCTACATACTTCTGAAAAAAAAAAGAGGTACTCTCTGCTTTAATATTTCAAAGTCGTTCAAACCGGATGGGGAAGTGAATTTGGAATATATACATTTACCTTGAAAGAGATGAAAGAAGAAATCCTGTAAAGCTACTTTATGAATGTATGCCATCCATATTATCTCTATGAATTGCAAAATTAACGCAAAAATGTTTTTATTGCATAAAATAGTATCTTATGTATCGTCACGTTTAAGTGGCGTCTCTCATTGTCTTCTCATTCTCTTATTACCGTCTTCCTTGGAGGAAGGTATACATAGTTGACAGTTTTCTTACCGTCTTCGGACAATACCCTTCCTCTCTTTAGTGATTAGTGAATTGCATGAAGAGACATTTTTCAATTAGCTCAATTGATTGAAATGCCGTTCATGGCAAGGGGGGTAATTTCTGATGATCTTATTTTTATTTGATGTAACAATTATTCGAAATGATATTTAATTGTATAAAAAAAATTGACAAACGACCGGTGAATATTGGCAGAAATTAATTCTAAATAACATGTTTTTCAATAGCACAAACATAAAAAAGTATCTTTATACTCATTATAAATATAAAACATAATTTATCTTAATAGCATGCGAGCCTTACAACTTAATTAATTCTTTTCACTCTATTGTTTAAAGAAGTTGACATAATTTTTCCGCTCTTCCGATCATGACAAGAAACACACGGAGGGTGTGACAGGTCAGCAGTGGAGTCTTATTCCTCCATGGCTCCTGATACCACCTCTGATGATATGGGTGCCTGTGTTTGCTCTGCTCCTATTTTGAATCTTTTTATGTACTTTTTATTTTTTATTAAAGTCTTTTGATCTTGATAAATGTTATTTAAATCTACATGTTTGGTTAAGATCTCATTATTGAAAGTTTATATTTAAAAAAAAAATGAAATGAAATTTATTGTGAAAAACTGTTCTATATCAATATTAGCTTATGTAAATAATGCATGGTGAAATATTTTAAGCCCCCCTTAACCTCATCTTATAATCACCAATTGCACCAAGGAGCACTGATAGAAAAATAATATGGTAAAGGGTACTTTGATATTTTTAAAACATTTTTTTTCCAAAAAAGCATGACCACAAAATGTCCTTTTACAAAATAAAATTAAAGCAGCCCAAACATGGACCCCTGCAAACGTCAAAGTTGCATTAAGAAATGAATGTAATATTTTTTTCTTTGATCGATGTATCAAAGAAAAATTTGGACGCTACGCGCATTGATGAAAAAGTTTTCCGTCTAAATTTTTCTTTGATACATCGATCAAAGAAAAAAATATTACATTAATTTCTTATTATTTAATTATGATTTTAAATTAATAAAATGAAAGTTTCTTTCATTTTTCTATTAAATTTATGCATCAAAAACAGTGCGCACTAATACATCACCATAACGTTAACGTTGCTGAAAATTCAAAATGGCTCTAAGCCTCTAACCATGATGCTAACGAAAAACGTTCTCAAATATTGTCATGTGATTACCAACAGTCTCCGAAATAATTTACACTTCTTTAACACAAAAAACTTATCTGTTCTGTTATCCCTCTGGGTACAATTTCACCGGTAAGTTCTCTAATTTCGTAAATGTAAAGGGAAGCTACTCAAATATCCTAACAGTTCTAGGTCACAGAAATTTTGGATTTCATTTGCGCATCTTTTCAATTGAATTTCAAACCGAATATATAAATACGTATCACAACCTGTCAATGCTGTAAAATCTGAAAGAGTCTGCTTCCGATAGGAACCTAATTCAAGATTAAAGAATTCCGTCCTCACGCAGTGTCGCTTTTCTCGATCATTCTTTTCCCACGATTTAACAGATTTACGTACGGTTTTCCCCGCTTTGGTAGCATAATAAACATTTTTTCAGAGTTCTATTGTTTCATATCAGATATCTCAGAGTCAAACATATGCCGATTAAACGATTTCTTCCCTTCTTTTCCGTAACTGTATATTGTCGTCATGCAGACGATTTCATTTGTTTAGCAAAGGGGGATAATTCAAAATGAAACGAAAGTAGAAAGTAAGTCAGGAACGTAACGGACAGGTTCCGAAATTCAGGAAAATATTTATTAACGCATAAGTATTTAATTATTTTTTCAAAAAATAATCTAGAAGCGGGAATATACATGTAACGACTGTCAAAGTAGTTCCGGCTGCTTAGTGCAAGCGAACTCTAGATTTTATTGATGCAGGTATCAAAAGAATTTTTTATCCAATCAGAATCAAGTATTTCATAGAAATTAAATGATATAGATTTCTGGGAGAAGTAACTATTCCCTTCGACCATTCCCCCTAGGCAAAAACTCCGTAGAAAATTCAATTTTAAAATATAAGATGACAATTTCTATGAAAAAAAATCAGTCTAAATACTTGATAATAGATTGCCAACAAAGTCGTTACGTACCCTTGCTTATTAGATCTACTTGGAGATATTTGCTAAATGCATGTTAAAATGGCACTTGAAGTTGCAGCATATATATGGAAAGTTGACAAAAGAAAAGGTGAAGGCAACACATTTATCGATTTGTTATGCTTGACAATCATTATGTATAACTTTAAAATATGAAAAAATGTGTCAGACTCTGGTATTTTTTAATCCAAGGTCAAAGGCAATTCTTCATTTACAAAGTATTGAAAGAATGATATGGAGATAACGAACAGTATTCAATATCAAAGTCTATAAATAATACAAAAAAGGAGCTAAGAAACATCAGAGATGGGTCAGGTGCCATTGATGAGTGAGCATCCCCTTCTGACCAGTCACACCCGCCGTGTGCTCCTTATGGTCGGGAAATAACGGGAAATCCGTAGTTAATTCAATATATATATAATGGACTAACAATTAGTATGATAAACGTCAGTTAGCATTTGACTCAATGATAAACTATATTTGCTAACAAGGTTATTGTATCGCCCATAGAACTTACAAAATGATGACTTAAAACGAGACTGCTGATATTATTGTTTCATTAACTAGCTTTTCAATAACTTACACCACTTTAAAAAATGTTTATAGGAAGAGCATGCTCTTGAGTATCGAACCAACTGAGAAATATACACTCCGTATGCAGGTGATGAAGATATATTGCAGCATCAGTAATGGAAGCTGTCGATAGAAAAGTTAAAGTAATCCCGTTTATCATGCACATGTAGCTTGGTCGTGAGATAACCATTAAGGTCTTTTTCAAGTAAAATTTCCAAGTATGAAACAGACTATGTGGTATCTTTATCTCAAGCTCTCCAGGATATATCGTATCGACGTAGGAATGGAAATTGCCATTGTTAATTGACAACGCGTCGTCGATATATTTGAATGTCAAACTTAATGCCGCAGCAAGTGCTTTCTTATTTTAACGCTTAAGGTTTTGTTCTAATTCTGCTTCATAAGAATACAAAAATAGGTCTGCTATTAGTTAATTGATTAAACATCTGCGATATATCTTCAAATTAACTTTAAGTCTATACCAAGAATACACCATGTTAATAATAATATAATAATAAATAGTTTTGTTTTTTTTCAGTTTAAACGATGGTTTAAACGATGGTCACATTATTGGCATAGCTGCTTGTGTAGCGATACTGATCTTGGTATTCATAGTTCTCCTCAAACACAGAAAAAATGTAAGTATTTTCCCTTCCAGAATAATATACAATATGACACATGTTTAAGGTTTAAAATATGCTTTTAGTAAAAATAGCAAGGTTTTTTTTTTAAATTGTATTAGGCCTCGAGGATTTCAAAACTTAATAAAAGTTTAAACTGAGGTTTAAACTGAATCAAAATTGTATACTAGAAGTGGAAATCAATGTTGGATATATGGCAGCTTAAAAAACATACCAAAAGTTTGAGAAAATACCCCTGTTTAAGTATTATATGACAGTCAACATATGTATAGAATGCTTAATTCCGGAAAGAAAAATCAACTACATTAACACATTTTTATAGGTCTGCCTCATATCACCACGGTGACTCTAAAATATTCTCAGATAAAACATTGATTTAAAAGCAATCAATATGTAAAAAGCAATATTGTGTTGACTTGTTTGTTTTACTTAAATGTGTTCACATTTATAACATCATTTGCTAGAGCTGTAAAATATAATGCGCACAGTACGTACAGTTTGCTAAAATAATGATATTGTTAAAAGAAGAAGTGATCTTAACAATATTATGAACATCATTTTTTTTATTATTTTGCATGTTGTTCAATCCGAAAAACTGGACCTGTACATCTTGATAGCAATTTATTTCCACGTCCTTTTTACTAAGCGAGTGTCAGGGTTACAGTCTTAATGTTAATGTTAGGTAGAAGAAAAAATAGAAAACTTCAGATTATACAAACATAAAATTTACTTGACACAAGTTGTAGAAATGGCTTGTAAGAAAATAGAGAAACGTCTCAAAATGTTATATAAGTATTAACAATCCGTCAAATAATTATTAAATGGTAATTAACATTTAGTTTATTTTTAATACCTTTGCTCCTTGAAAACTGATCGATAAAACAGTTTTTGAATACCTCATTGACCTTAAAATTGTTTCACTTATATTTGGCCATAGACTAATTGGGAAAAAACCAACAACTAAATCAATTTACATGTACGTATTCCTGAACTAAGTTATTTTATACGTCTATGACTTGGTCTCTATGAATCGAATCAGTTAAATATCACAATAAACGTACCAATTCGCATAGAAAACACTTTAAACTATAGATGCGAAATAATTAGTACCGTTTCAATCTAGATTTCAAAGTACGTACGTACATATAAGAAGTACTCAACCTCGTCCCTAAATATTCTTTATTTTACAGGCCTACATGTTTATGATTTATAAGTAATAACTTAACCTTTCTGACAAAATAGCTGTCTAGTCCTGTAAAAGTATATATTTTGGGTAAATAAATTTTCGAGATCGTAAAAAAAATATGTTATAATTATTATTTAATATAATGAATAGCGATTAAATAAAGATATGCAAAGATTGATGGATGTAGCATTTACGTTGTGTATAAAATTATACAAACATGTAAAGTAAAAAAAAGTTTTCAAATCTTGGATGGGGATTTTTTTTTCTATTCCTCTCCACCAGTACTTGACATTGCTTTACCGGGGTTTTATTTGCAGAGGATGACTTGAGCCCACCTATTATACTATTTATCTGTGCTTCTTGAAACACAGCATATTATAAAGAAAAGTACATGCAAACCTTGCTTAATTTTTATTTCAATTTTCCAACAACAAATCAAAGTTATTTCAAAATATCAGTTTCCAATTTATTTTTTCAAAATTGCAGAGCTCTTGTTCTGACTCATAAATTTCTGACCCCAAGAATTTCCATAAAATTATTAAAGTTTTAACGGAATCAGAACGGTATACAGTACAGAAAAAAATGTTTGATACATGCTGTCTTAAAAAGCAAACTATTTAGAAAGTTCCATATTCAAGTATTGTTTGACAGTCCAAACATGCATGGAATGCTAAATTACGGAAAATGCTTTTAAAACAACAACTTTTAAAACATTTTCAATAGGTCTGCATCATAAAACAATTTTGAAATTTTCACAGATTAAGCATCCATTTAAACCACTCTATATGTAAAGTTTCGATTTTGATATTTTAGGTACTCTACTTATCTTTTCTATGTGTCCTTTTTTCATGTACAAACACGCGAGGCGTGGTTGGTAGAATATATTTATATAACTTTCAGGTTTGCTGAATATTAGTTACTATAAAAGATGAAGATGAAAAGATGAGGTCATTACATCAATATTTTCACAATGTTCAAATTTTTATAAACTGAGCCTATATATAGTAAATATACAGTGTACAGTTTGACATTTTTTTTCATTATAAAATTGAATCACCTCATTGAAATAGAGGATCACTCTAAAAAAAAAGTTCTGCAATTCTTTAAAATCTAAAACATTGGCCTTAAATGATATGCTAATAAACATTATGTATATTTTAGGTAAAACAAGCAATTTGTCGGAAGGATGCCTTGGCTAATCAGAATGAAATAGAGATAACTAACAAATTTCTAAAAGAAAAAACAGAGGAAGACATTGAAAGTGAACACTTAAAAGAAAATGGAAATCTTCAAAAATTTCTATGAAATAAAAGGAATTCAAATGTTATCAGGTATCAAGTATTCAAGTATCATCGTGTTTTTCATATCAATATATTTCTTTTACTTATGGCTCCTATTTTGCTGAATGAAAAATGCTTCATTGCTGACTTTTTTGTTATTATGAATTTGAAATAGTCTGTAAATTGAGGAAATTATGATTATCACTTATGATTATATATCAGTGTAGTTACTATATTTTAAGAGATTGTATGTGTTTTATGCCAATTTTTTCATATGCCATTGGAAAGCTAATTCACAATGGCTGAATGAGTTGCTTACATTCGTTCTGGATGTTGTCCTCTGCCTCTGTGGCATTAAATATGGGTCATTGACCACAGAAGTGTTTACCTGTGTTTATTTTATTTTATTTATTTTAACATTCACCATAAGCGATATTTTATCCATAATTAACGTGTACAGCCCTAATGCGCTTAGATATCCCTCGGAGTTTGACTACTTCAGCTCAAAGTTTCACACGGACTGCTTTGTTTGTTAGCCGATCTCTTATTGGATTATGACTTAGCCGGTGTTTATAAACAGACAGACCTGTTGAAGAAACCAGATTCGGTTTTAGATTTCCCAGAACACAGAAAGATTACAAAGCTTTTGACCAAGAGTAAAATGGCCCAGGATGTGTTGTTTAATAACCCCTCTCAATTACAGATGGTGAATATTTCCTTTTAAAAGTGCACACCTTTTCTAGTTACCAGAATAACATATATCCCATACACCCCTGACACATTTTTTTTTTTAATTATCAACGTCTGCTACCATCGAACTCATTTCCTTATCGTTCCATCTTCATTTCCAGCGTGGTGCTTTGGTGAACATCTCAATCAGATACAATTATTATTGTTATGAATTTAGGTGGGCCTGTACCTTGTGCTAACCATAGTTATTACTTATGTATTATTATTTTACCTTAGCATGGATATTTACAAATTACTACGGTGTGTAGATACCATATTTCAAGTGATTATTTGTGTTGATGCCAATTTATTTATAATCTATTAGATTTAATTGAAAGCGAAAGTAGAAACATGCCGTTTCACAAGGACTGTGTTGTTTACATTCGTTCGGGATGTTGTTCTCGACCCTTGTGGCATTAAATATGTGTCATTACGCACAGTAGTGCTTACCTGTGTTTATTTCATGTTTTACCATCCACCATAAGCGATATTTTATCCATAATCCATGTTTACAGCCCTAATGTGCTTCGATTTCCCTCTGTTTTTCATTACTTCGGCTTGAAGTTTCGCACGTGCTACCTTGTTTGTTAGACGATCGCTGATTGGATAATGACGTAACTCTTCTGTGTTTATAAACAGAGAGGCCCGTTGTAGGTACCAGTTTGGAATTTACATTTGCCAGAGTTAGATTGTGATTACGGAGCCTTAGAATGGCCCAGAAGGTGTTATTCAATAACCCATCCAAATTACAGAAGGTGACTATTTAATTGTAATAGTGTGCACCTTCTCCAGTTACCAGAGTTTCCCTTATATACTCCTGACATATATTTGTTTACATTAGCAATTAACGTCTGCTACCACCCCTTCATTTCCATATCGTTGCACCTTCGCTTCCAGAGTGGTGCACCTTCTATTTTTACACATTCCCAAAGTATCCTGGAGGTTCCAAATATCGCGTTAATTTTATGTACTTTTATACAATAAATTATTACATGTTTCTTTTATACAAAGACTTTCTCTTGTTTTGTTGACTGTCTAAAGGTACAGAGCCCACGTATTATTATAACGAAAAGCTGTAGAGTTATTTATACCGGGTCTATTACAAATATTTAAGACAAGGCATATTTATTATTAATCAAATATATAATTTTCGTTACATTGGTGTCAGAAGTGGGATTGTAGAAAATTGATTGAATTTTTTTTTTCTGTACCTTGCAGTTGACAAACAAGACTAAAGTTCACAAGAATATTTTTATAAACATTTTTATTATTCCAAATAATTTTACAATGGATATTTCCATTGAGTCCAATGAAGTGTTCTTTAAACCAAGTGATGAAAATCATTCTACCATGAATGATAGTGATCCAGAAAATCTCCCCTGCTGACCGCAGCATCTCTGCTGGTGCTGGAGAAGGTGTCCAATTACCAGTTGACCCTACCAAAAATATTACTAAAGCTTTAGTAAATGAATTTAAAGAAATGCAATGTGAATTGACCAAGCAATTCAGAAATATGTGTGATGAAACCAACAGAAATATGTTTAAGGTGCAATTCCAAATTACCAGAGATGTAAATCTCATGAAAAATGATTTTGATGAACAACTCTCAAACATGAAACAAAGAATAGGGGAAATCCAACAGAAGGTTGAATCAGAAAATTCCAAACCCCAGTCTTCTCCTGTCAGTCCCCAGGTACCTTTCAATCAAAATGCATTGAATCCTTCTCCCATTTCCTACCCAGAAATTTCTACTAAACAGCCCTTACCACACCATCATAGCCAAGTTGGGGGATTTCCACAAACCAAACCACAATGTTTTGATGGGTCTGAGGACCTAGATGAATATTTAGCCCAATTTGAAATTTTGTGTGAATTAAATAGGTGGGATTATCATCAAAAATCATTACACCTAGCAAGCTCCTTGAAAGGCAATGCCCGTGCCACCCTTAGTGAGTTGTCCAGTACAGAGAGACGTGACTATAACCATTTAGTCAAAGCCCTTACGACACGTTTTGGATCCCATGGCCGAGCCGAGATTTATCGTGCTCAACTCCAAACTAGAGTAAGAAATAAAGATGAATCCATATCTGAACTTGCCCAGTCTATTAAAAAGTTAACAAGACACGCTTACCCAGACGCACCATCCTCACTTACCAAGATTCTTGCTAGGGACCATTTTATTGATTCCATTCCTGACAGTGACATTAGACTGAGAATCAGAGAAGCCAATCCAAATGACATTGACGAGGCAGAGGCCCAAGCCATTAGACTGGAGACACACCATTTAGCAGACAGACAACGAGGTTCAAACCGAACAGTTAGATTTGTCAATGAAAAACCAAACAAGACCAATGACTGTGATTCATTAGACCTTATTAGAAAAGGTTTTTCAGAAGTTAAAAACGAGATAGGATCTCTAACCAGGGAGATCAGAAAATTAGTAAATGTCAACTCACAACCCCAATACGGATACCCTCCCCAAAACCACAATGAACCAAGACCTGTTCAATCCAAATGGAAACCAAATAACAAATACTTTAACAACAACAGACAAAACCAGCCAAGACCTGACACAAGAAATCAACAGAATCCGGGAAACGAGATGAGGTCGCATCTGGGGGCCTCAGATCGACTTCCTCAAAATGGCCCTCAACAGTGTTAGTAAATGAAACCATGTCCGGGGATGAGGGATTGTTCATTGCTGCCAAAGTGCAGGATACCCCTATGTCATTATTAGTGGACACTGGATCCAGTGTTACCATTTTGAGTGAAAAATCATTTAAAACCATAAATCCCTCCAAACACACAAAAATTACCCCGGTCAATACAAAATTGGTTACTGCAACTGGAACCACTTCCTCTTTCATTGGTCAGACTCGAGTTGAAATACAAATTGACCAGCACAAATTTTCCCATGATGTTCTTGTGGCTGACATAAATAATGATGTCATCCTTGGTATAGATTTTCTGACTGCCAACAAATGTGATGTGCTATTAAGCAAAAGTTGTCTTGATGTGCAAGGCGACAAAATTCCATGTTTCAGATACTCTAATGAAGTACCTGCCTGTTGCAGAATTACTGTGACAGAGAACGTTGTTGTTCCTCCTGGAACTGAAATGATAGTTCCTGGTAGATCCACTGGTCATATCAACAAATGTGCTGCCTTATTGGAGCCAACCAATACTTTTGTTGAAAAACAAGGTCTTATGATTGCTAGGTCTTTAGTAAATCCTAGTAAAGGTATTGTACCACTGCGAATACTAAACTTGCAAGATGAGCCTTGCAAAATTTACAAAAATACCATTGCCGCCAACTGTGAACCAGTCAATGACAGTGACATACAAGAAAACCAAATACTAAAAATTTCCACAATGTGTGTGTGTCTAAAATTGAAGCCAAAAAACATTATCCCTTAAGATTTTGTGTCGACTTCCGTCAACTCAACGACATTACTAAGAAAGATTCTCACCCCTTGCCCAGAATTGATGATACCCTAGATGCCCTATCTGGTGCCGAATTCTACAGTACTCTTGATTTAAAGTCCGGGTACTGGCAAGTTGGTATTTCTGAGGCAGACCGCCCAAAAAAAGCATTTTCATTCCCAGGTGGAGGACTTTGGCAGTTTACTGTCATGGCCTTTGGCCTATGCAATGCGCCAGCCACATTCGAAAGACTCATGGAGAAAGTTCTTAATGGTCTCTCATGGAAAGTGTGCCTAGTGTACTTAGATGATATAGTTGTATTTTCCAAAGATTTTCAAGGACAATTACAAAACTTGAGAAAAGTTTTTGAGAGACTTAAATGTGCCAATTTAAAATTAAGTCCCAAAAAGTGTTGTCTATTTCAGAGTAAAGTGTCTTTCCTTGGACATATTGTTAGTAAAGATGGTGTGTCCACTGACCCTGAAAAAGTCAAGGCAGTCCAAGAGTGGCCAGTCCCAAAATCTATAAAAGATGTCAGAAGTTTTCTAGGTTTAACTTCTTATTACAGGCGTTTTATCCACCATTATGCCGAAAAAGCCACACCCTTACACCACCTTACTGAAAAGAACAAGCAATTTATTTGGTCTGAGGATTGCCAGAATTCCTTTGAAATCTTAAAAACTGCCCTTGTCCAGGCACCCATCCTAGCATACCCTTCCCAGAATGACCATTTCATCTTAGACACTGATGCTAGTAATTATGGTATGGGAGCAGTGCTATCCCAAATACAGAACGGATGTGAGAAAGTTGTTTGTTACTTTAGTTAAGCATTTAGTGGTCCCCAAAGGAAATATTGTGTGACTAGAGGGGAACTTCTTGCCATTATCCTTTCAATTAAA